AGCAATTTTAACGGTGTTCCAATAAGAATTCATTGGTCAAATTTTCACAGAATGTTCTTTAGATAAAAATCTATATAAAAAACGAAAAAAACTATTTTTGATTGAAATTCACAAATAAACTGCATCTCTACCTTAAGTTGATTTGCATACAAAGCAGAGCTTGAAACATGATAGCTATTCATAAAGGGTGTTTTTTTCACTTTTCATATAATACAGTAGTCACACAATGAATATACCGTATTACCCCGGGCACGCGCCCCTCTCTGGGCAAGCGCCCACCCCCCTGTTTTCACAAAAGTTACATGTTGGGGACATCCTCGGTTAAACGCCCAGGGTGATTTTTAGCCAAGAATTAGGTCAACAATAAAGTTGTATTTGTCAAAAACGAACGCGTCTGATTTATTCAAATAGTGTGTTTGTTACGGTAGTTCTCTTTTTGGAGTGTGTGGTGGCCCTGAAAAGGGCCGTTTTGTTTGTGTTTTACGTAAAAACTCATTGGAAGAGCATCGCCAGGCGATGGACGCGGGGCTCTTTGGCAACGACCAAAAACGTATCCATGTCCAGCCATTGGTTGACCACGTAGAGGTCAAAATACGCATTCTATTTTTACACGTTAAGTTTGGCTCTTCCGTTTCACCCTCTTCCGGAATGTTCTACTTTCGCAGCCTAATCGCAGGTTTTTCGAAAAACACAAGAATTAGTGGAAATGTTTTTATTTGGGGCGGATTATTGATAGAGGATAATGTCTTTATTACAAAAATGCTGAAAAATCGTGAGTTTTTGCCTTAGTTACTTTTTTATCGGCGAAAAATTGCAAACTCGGCAAATTTGGTTGCACAACTTCCCTCTATCATATACACCCAGCGACACCGATGCCAGCTGACTGTGAACGGGAGCTAGCACTTTTGAGACATTGCTACTTTCTTTCCATCCCTCATCACAGCTATGGCATTACGGTCATGTGGATTATTTTTCTGTCGTTGAAGAAAAACACATTTTGCCGACCTCAAGTCCATTATGATAACCATAATGAGGCATGCCGACGATGGGAACTTGTTGCATCATAATTTTGTCTTGTGTGTGGGTGCGTGAATAAATCATGTTAATGAGGTCGACCAGAGTTTATTTTCAGTCTGTTTTTTATGTATCGCCATTTGGATATGTCAGTAATAAAAGGTTTATTTGTTTCATAACCCTGTCTGCTATTCTTCAGTAATTACGATGCGATGTATCAATACGTGCGTGAACAAAATTATGCTAATGAGGTCATCGCCTTCTTGGATTACAAGCGGTAGTTTTTCCCCGGCCGTTTCGACTTGCACTGATCACGGTTACTAAAAATGTAACCGTGCATTGATTACAATATTTACCATAGTTTGTAGTCAATTTCAGTGAGTAATACAACTTCATTCGCTGACATAAAACAAGTTTTATTCTTGAAATTCGACCCTGTGTCTTGGTGTTCCCACAGATCTTGACCGAGTGCTCACGTTTATTGAAACCTCGCATAAATCAAGAAATAAGTACGTGTACAAAGTGTACGAAAGCATTCCTTTATTTGACCTTATCATACGATCACAAAAACAACTTTTTAAAATCTTTTTTGGGGTGGTCCTCGGGTAAGCGCCCACCCCCAATTTTTCCCGATTTTGTACGTTCAGGCCCCTGGGCGCGTGCCCGGGGTAATACGGTAATAAGGCAGTTCATATTTGTCTCAGTGAATCATTAATTTTTGACAGACACCTGTACAAAATACTTGGACAAAAGCCAGCTAAGTTTTTCTGTTATCTTGCATGTTTTATGAATCTATTCACGTCTAAATGCAGCACTTTTTTTCTGCGATGAGGCATTTGTTTTTATACTAAAATATCTGAATTACTTTGAATAAAACTGGAAATTATGTCCCTTAAAATAATTAAACAAATTAGGCACCAGTGTTTTTGTAAGATATTTACATCTCTTAAAGACATTCGATAGACTGATTCCCCACTGTTTGTTCAACCCCAAAACTTGTTTGTATTCAAAATTAATTATGACAATGCATATTTATATTGAAACAAACTATGATAATGTTATATAACAAAGGAGAAGGTCACCAGAGTTCAATTATGTTTTTTCTTCTATACAGAAATCTTGGGATGTAGCTTTAGGTCCTCTTAAACAGTTACCCATGAATCTGTTCATTATGTGGATGGCTGGTAATTCTATATCTATATTTCCAATAATGATGGTGGGTATGATGTTGTGGAGACCTGTGCAGGCATTGCTTTCAATCCAAAATAGTAAGTCACTTCTTCATAACATTGAAAAGTACAATAACACAATGCCAATCACTCATACACAAACATATGCACATGTTTCTATACAGTGTTCTCCACAAGGGGTTTTAGGTGGGCGGCCCGCCCATCAAGTTTTACGGCCGCCTAGTAACTCTCAACACCCGCCCACCAACGTACATCCAGCTGAAATTATTTGTAAAAAGCTTGCATTGTTCTTCCCAAGCCTAAACAAAAGAGTAGTTGCCCAACCCTTTATTTTGCTATTGTTTCAAGAGTCCAAACATAAACAATGACCACTGGAAGTCTGCAAGCAGTTATCAAGTGTATTCATGGCAATGTGTCAATCGCCTGAATTCATTGTCATCGACATTGTTGCCACTTATTACTCACGATACGCAACTACAGTGGTTTCAATTTACAGCTGTATTTTTAATAATCGTCTTCCAATCACGAAAGAAAGAATTAAATACGAACGAAATGTATATGCACAGAAAATAAACAAGTATATTAGCATATTGCATGTAAACTCGAACAAAAATTAAAATTCTAGCCGTATTTACAACGTTCGCTCGATTTTCATCGTGAAAACAGCATGGAGAAGGCAAACTGGTGACCTTTTGGCCTACCCCATTCAACGACCGTCGGTGACCCACCGGTGTTGGCACTGTAACGATTTAGTATCTAAGTTGCATAGCGGAGCATTTGTCAACAACCAATCACAAGACTGGTTACGAGCAGTTGAGCAAGGCTAACCGAGTCGTGACCTCGATGTGGTTCGTAACCAGTCTTGTGATTGGTTGTTGACAAATGCTGAACAGGCCACGCCTGGATCGGGTTCGAAATGGCCGACTGGCGGCCATTTTGTTTTAAAGAATTCAGTTCTGGATCCGTATCTGAGACATGCTTGGATTGATCGAGTTCAAACTTCACACACACAAGGTACATCATGTCACAAATATGTATGTGCATTTGTTTCATGATCTCATTAACGATAGTCAAATGGCGGCCGCTTTAAGGCCGAAAATGCATTGAAATCGCACATTTTCACCATCCGGA